TGTCTTTACAGTGGGAGGAACGGCAGTGAGCTGGATGTCTAGACTTCAGAAAAGTGTGGCGTTATCTACGACAGAGGCTGAGTATATGGCTGTTGCAGAGGCCAGTAAAGAACTAGTTTGGTTGAAGACTTTTCTTAAAGAGTTGGGCAAACAACAGTCTGATTACTTATTGTACTGTGACAATGAGAGTGCAGTGAAACTTGCTAAAAATCCTGTTTATCATGGCAAGACAAAGCACATCGGGATGAGGTATCACTTTGTGAGGGGATTGATCAGTAATAGAACAATCAAGTTGAAGAACATCTCAGGTGCTAAGAATCCAGCAGATATGTTCACCAAGACAGTGGTGCTGGATAAGCTGAAGCTTTGCATAGCTTCAGCTGGTCTCCTGGAATAGTGTTGAGGAGAGGGGCAACTAGGGAGATGTGAAGATCAAGGAGGATCTTTCATTTACAGAAGTACAGAGAGAAGCCGCAGTTTGGTCCAAAGACTCCAAGTGGGAGATTGTTGGTGATGTGTAGTCATCGGCCCAAAGTGGCCCACTTGTAGACAACTGAGAGTTAGGAGACCAGATTAGGGTTTCGGCCGGCCCAAATGGTTTTAAGCCCAGTTTGCTATAACTTGTCCAGCAAGGGTTAAACCCTAATTAGTTGTCTATATATACGATCTCCTGTACTTGTAATCATCATCACTCAATAATACAAACCCTAGTTGCCCCTGTGGATGTAGGTCAGATTAGACCGAACCACGTTAAATCTCGTGTTCTTTATCGCTTTCTTGCTTTATATTCGTGTGTGTGCTTTTGTTCTTAACAGTGTTTCCATCTTCTCAAGCTTGCTAAAATGACAAAAAATGGAAGGCTGGCTAATTTTTTTTAAAAAAAATTTATAAATAGAAACCTTTTTCTTATAAACATTTTTTCACTATAGTGAATATGAGAGTAATTTAGCAATTACTCTGAATATCATGTGGTAAAAAAATGTACATTTGTAAGTACTAGCCTTCCTGTTGTGTTAAGACAAAAAGTAATTGAATTATGTAAATCATGCTCAACTAATTCAATTTACAAATTTCTTCAATTATACTCGTTCATAAAAAAAAATTAGATAATTCTTTTTTCTTTTACCTATTTGATTTAAAAAATAATTCAGTAGCTATTCCTCCTAAATACTTATCTGGTAGTAAAAAAAAGTAAAAAGAAAAAGTGAGATGAAAAATGAGAGTCTTAAGCCGGAGCACTATATAAGTTTATGAAACCTGATGTTGAAGAGAAAGTAATGCTACTATGATTTTTTTTCATTTACTCATTTTGTTTTAATACTATTATATTAATTTTCATTTAAATATAATTAGTATTTCCATCATCTCCGATGGAGCCAAAATTTCACCATTTTTTGGCTTTGGGGTGTGATGGAATAAATCAAAATGGATCTCTAAACTATCTGCGCTTCTTTAATTAATGAAGTAGCAGTTAGTCAAGCAATGCAACTTTCGATGTTGAGCCGGAGGTCTCTTTGGAAACAGCCTCTCTACTTTCAAGTAGGGGCAAGGTCTGCGTACACACCCTCCCCAGACCCTACTCTTGTGGGATTTAACTGGGTTGTTGTTGTTGTTGTTTTTAAATATAATTAGCCTACATACTTTGATTTATTAGGTCATTAGACATAAATCCTTTGGGGCCATTGAATTCTCAGGACCGGCCCTGCCCCCCCTACTCGTTTTGTGCTACTAGTTCAAATGGTTTGGACACCATCTCGGAAATGCTCTTTTTCAACTCTGCTTTTTTGGCTTCATCAAATCTGATGCTTTGAAATTGTGCCGTGCTTCTCCATTTCACTCCGGGTTTCAGTTGTCAAGACTTTGAAGCTTTTCTTGTGTTAAACCCATGTCATTGACTGCATTTGCAAAAGTTAAAATTGGGCAAATAATTAGCTGCAGAAGTTAAAATTGGAAGAAGATGGCCAAAATTGTCACTACAAAAATGTTCAACTCATCCTCGCTACTAGTCACTCCCCTGTATTAAAACTTAATTCATATTTTATTGATTCAATGGTTCAATATAATGTTGACAAATTCTTTTGTAGTCTTTGAATTTATATTCAAAATTTTAATATATAGAATGATTATATATATTGGATTTTTAAAAACAAATATATACTTAATTAACTTTGAAAATTTCAAAAATATGGTCATGAATGTTTCTTGGGTAAAGTGTTCTTTAGGATTGTCTTTAAAGTACTCAAGTTACTCCTGAGTTCATTTTTTTATTCTTTAATTTTTAATATTTTTGTCAAATTCTTTACTTCCTCGTCACCTTTCACACCTTACAAGTCTCATAAAACATTTAAATTTGTTTTAAATAGACACAATTATCTTACCTTTTCTTAAGTCTAATCAAACTTACCCATTTACATTCTACGTCTTACACATTTTGATATTTCTCCAGCCCTACTCGTTTCCATTGTTGTTGTTTTACATTGGTCAAAAGTCAAAATAAGAAATGTTTTGCGGGACGGAAGAATTAAGTTATTATCGATATTGGAAGAATTTATAATTTCTAAAAACTATTCAAGTTTATATAAAATTAAAACAATTCACAAATTTTATATAATTCATGGATTATAAACAATCTAACAAAATCTTTTAAAACCTTGATAGTAAAATATATGAGTATTAATATTTATCCAAACAAGTGTAGAATTAAACAAATCCATGGACAACATATTCCTTGATTTTAGACATCTCTCACAAAATTTTGAATACACCTCTTTAATGTTTGCAAATATTTTTATTACTCATTTGAGAATTCATCAAAGATACTCGTATATGCTTTGTTTTTCATTTTTTAAATAAACATATACCTACAGTACTCTCACCCACGTTTTAATACCTACATAGATGATAATCATATGTGAACAATACAGACAATTGCTATAAATTTGTCTCAATGTATTACTCTTTTTTAACCATTAGCCATTTAAGCTTCCCCTCCTACCCACAGCCCGAACATAACAGAACTAATATTCAATATCCAAACATAGAACCTTCATAGTCCATTAATCTGCAGCCTGCAGCCATTGAACCATCGAATACATCAAAGTATCAAACCACCACTTCCAGGGTCCATTCATCCACTGCTCCAGGCAAAGATAATCCGCCTTGTTTTTAGATTTCATCGTCAATTTAGGGGTCATTCAAGCATCTTTATGATATTCATAATTTCTACCACCGTTTGTGTGATAAGAAATCCCCGAACGCGAATGAATCTTAGTCTAGAGTTCGCTGCATGTGTTCTTCGTATCACTATTCACACCGAATTCCCTAGGGTGCCATTCCTCTTGATTTTGTGGGTCATTCTTGCCTATTCACAAGAATGGGCAAGAATGTGTTATGTTCATGGGTTTGTTTTAAAATCAATGTGCTGCAAAGTTTGATTTTTGGTGATTTTGCTCAATTGAAGCTCAATTCTGTGAGGTTTTGGTCGATTGCGAGTGGCTTATCAGATTCCTAGGTTGGTTTCTAAATTAATCAACGGATTAGTGTGCTTATCACTTTTTTGTCTTGTGGTCATTATTCATCGTCTTCCCTGCAAAGACGGCTTCAGGTTTAGTGTGGCGGTGATGGTGACAGTGGGGGTTGGGGGAGCGTGGGGGTTAGTGGTGGCAGTGTGGGAGTGGCAATAGTAGTGTGGCAGGGAGGTTCGCAGTGTGGTGGCGGCAGTGACATTGTGTAGCGGAGTTGGCAGTGTGGCTGTGGTGGCAGTGTGGTAGTGTGGCAGTGTGAAGAAGGGCAAAATTGTCTCTTCATTTAAATATAACACTCATTTATTTTCAAAAATTGAATGCTCCTATTTTGGGCATTTAGGATCAATTTTACTCCTATTCTTGTCTTTCTCCCTTGTATGATATTAAAATTTGTTTTCTATAACATATTAACATGTATCGATTCAACTTCCGAATCTGTTTAATTTTATCAATTAAACATTTGTGAATCTTCACATATACATATTGAGCAGATTCTATCTTCAGTGCATTGCTAAATTTCAAAAGAAAACAGTGGAAGCAGTTGTAACCTTTAGATGGATGCAAAGGACATTTTAGGATTGCCGAAGACTACTCTACTCACTCCCACAGAAAAAAAGTCCCGACCTCCGAAAGAGTCTCAACGCAAACCTGATGGAATTTCACGAGAAGTAATTAGTTTCCTTCTCTATTTCTCTATATAAATTCTATGTATAAAATCTCTTCTCTTTTGTGTGTTTTTTTTTTTAAATTTCACAGAATTTTTGGTTTCACCTTTGCAATGTTTTAGGTTTATGCCCTTACAGGAGGTCTTGCACCTCTTATGCCTGCTATTGACATAAATCTTTTGAAGCGACGAACACAGGCTGAAAATGAAAAGGTAATTTTCATCTAAAACACACTTGTCATATTGTTTTTAAAAATCTTAAATGTTGACTCAAGTCACTGAGCTGCTTCTGTTCTTTATTCAGATTACATGGCAGTGGCTACCTTTTACTAGTTCTGCCCGAAATGACAGCTTGCAACTGTATCACTGGGTATATCTAGTTCATCTTGCTAAAAATATAGATTCATAGCTGTAAATTTCGTGCACCTAAAATAGCTATTCTACCTCTTTTCAGGTGAGGGTGGTAAATGGTGTTTTGCCTAAAGGTGATTATTCATTTGCCAAGTATAACAAGGTATGCTGAAGAGTCTTTATATCATTTGTGGACCTTTATTGAAGTGCTTATTCACAAGAATTTTATTTTTGCCAAACTTTCATTGACCTTTTTTTGTCTTTGATTCAATGCAGTCTGTGGATGTGATTGAGTACACAGACGAGGAGTATGAGAAGTATCTGACAGACCCTGTATGTCTCCGATCTCTCAAATATTTAATATAATTAACATTATCACTCTCCCTAAAATGATTGCTATCCACATAAGAAGCACAAATTCATGAAGCTCTATGAAGTACCAATGTAGCATTATAAGATAGATTCTTTCTTCGATGCATTCACTGTAATATATGTATGTAACCTAACATCCCAAACTCATATAGTTATATTTTATTCTGATTTAAAGTTGTATTTCTAATTTAAGACGTGGACAAAGGAAGAGACAGACCAATTATTTGAGCTGTGTAAAAGGTTTGATCTAAGGTTCATCGTGATAGCTGATAGATTTCCATCATCACGCACCATTGAGGAGCTTAAGGATCGTTATTATACTGGTAAATAAAAATAGCTCTTTTTCCTATACTTCCAATTATCTCTTCTTAGTGGTGTTTACAGCCTATTTTTGTAGGCTTATAATGTGCTATGGTGTCTAGTTGTTTATTAGCGTGTTCTAAAGATGTGCAAATTTCTATGTCTGGCTTCATTGTGCTCAGTATCCCGAGTTGTCTTGAATTCAAGGTCTGCATCTTCTATTGATGTAGCCGGGCATCACATCCTTAAGGTTTGGTGACAATATTCCATCTTCATCCCTACATTAAAAATATACGTAGTATATGGAGTACTATGCCTCATTCTGTATTATTGTATTATTCAAGTTGTCACATTGCTGTAGGAACCTGAACCTTACAATATGCCTCAAGAGATTGAAAGAAAACGTGCATTGTCCATGGTGCTTTCGCAGACAAGGCATCAAGAACGCAGGGATGCAGAAGTTCGTTTTCTCCTAATATCTCATTTGTGTTTCATCTTTGAGCCAAAATCCGCAAACCCGGTCAATCGGGATTAGTCGGATTTTGCCAAAGGCAGGTCCGGAACACCTGTAGTCTAACAAAAAAACATGAAATTCTATTGCGGTAGCTCTCAACAAATTTGTTTGACGGGCACATTGAGTATATATATTCTTTATTGCATCCATTGCTCTATCTTATCAGTTTACTTGATTTAAAATCCTTCAAGGTCCTTGCTGAAGCAAAGAAAATAATGGAATCTCGTAAGGCTTCCAAGGTAATTTCTACTAGTTTGCCGCTCCCCCTCTCCCAAAAAAAAGATAAATAAATAAAGTGACTTATATCCTCTGATCTTCAGGTTGCTGAAGAGTCAGAGCTACCTCTTATGTCAGATTCAGGACCAGAAGGTTTGGAGATGGCTGCTACCATTAATCCTGCCTCAATTTCCCCAAATACTCAGTTTCCTCCGGGCATAAGTGCTTCTCCAATATCAGAAACTGCCTCTACTTTAGCTTCTCTTCGCACGGTGTGCTTACATTGAAAGGAAAAAAACCACACAATACTATTATATTGCTTAGCTGGTATAGTTGCCTATCTTATTGTATTGGTTGTGATCGCTATATTTTCAGTTGGGGGTGTACTTGCGTACATATGCACTAGAGCAAATGGTGCAAGCAGCAAGCTCATCAGCTGGACTCCGGACTATTAAGCGTGTTGAGCAAACTTTACAAGACCTAGGGGTTTGTGTGTCCATATATCCGTTGAACTTATTCCATGCTCTCTTCTTCTACTGTGCTAATTTTATTCATCTAGCAATTGGTTAGTGCATTCTGATGGCATAATATGTGTGCTTTTATTGGATTTGTAACTTTTAAGAGTTTGGATTCATTTCCTTCATGGGGCTAACTTTGCATAACTTTTAAAAACGAAACTTAATTTGAGGTTAAGCTAGTGCGCACTGGGTTTACAGGTCAATTTGAAGCCTAAAGTTCCAACTAAACTAGTATGCGCAGAGCATCTTGAACTTAGGAAAGAAATTTTGACCCTATTGAATCTTCAAAAACAGGTATGTGGAGTGTCTAATCTTTATCTCCAATGTATTTTATACTAAAAAAAATCAAAATCCAACTCAATACATTTTCAACTGATATCTGTGGGTCAGTTGCAATACAAGGAGTCTGAAGGTTCTTCATATCGTGAAGGTTCATATTCTGAAACACCTGGGACACCACCTAAGGTTAGCAAGTTGTTTCCCATTTCATCTTTCCCATTTGTGATGCTTGAATAGTTATTAAGCAGAAGCATGTGACATCTCTTATTGGATCATCTGTTGACAGCGAGCACAGGCTGCACAGCGTAGTGTTGAACATGACAAGACATTCGGTCCTGACTTAAGTTTTGGAGGTAATTTAGCATTTTGCTTTTTCTCCGTATGAAGTCAACCCTACTCTATTTATTTTAGTTAATTTCAAAGTTGTTGAGTCGTTCATGTACTTGGTTGGATGCTAGGTGAGAGAGCTGGTAAAAAGGATCAAAAACGCAAGGTACACACCGTATTATTATTATACATTCTTAAAACTACTAGTAGTATTTTGCCAGCTTTTCGTGTATAGAAAAGTCGAACTTGGGAAAAAACACAATTTGATTGTTGGGTGAGACAAGCGGGATGGAGTAATTTTTTATGTGCATATGTTATATTCTTTGTTTTTGTTTTTGTTTTTTGTATCTATATTTTTCTTTGTTTTCTTCTACTTATTTATCTATTAATCTGTCAAATGGGTGGGGTTTAAGACACCCGGAACACCCAAATTTGAAGGCTCTCCTGCATCTTCCAAACGGCCACGGAAGTTGAAAACCTCGTATGGATAAAGCACACGCTCCCAAGATCCATGGCTAAATGTGGTAATAACTCGGATGAATGCTTCGTGAATTGGTTCTCGTAGTAGTCCTCTTTGTTTTTACACCAGGAGAACACATATATTTTTTAAAGTGCTGTGTTTAAAAGCTTCTACTTGAAGTGGTTGGTTCAAGCACCTACACTGGCTCCAGTTATTCATTTTTGTTTTCACCCATTAAACTTTGTACGCAGTCTTTATCTACCTAATGATCAAATAAGCTTGGGTTTCTTCTCCCTCTTTCTTGTTTTGTACAGTAAAAGACAAATTATAATAATTTATAAACTATGCAAAAAACATGTAATTCTAAACGAAATTTATTCATTTCAACACCTTTTGTTTTTTGCAACATTTTCAACCTCTTAAATATTACGGAGTATTTTTTAGTTTTGGGGGTACCATCAAAAAAAGTTGCAAAATTTAACATGGATATTTCTATTTGCATGTAAAATCCTTGTAAAAATTTCATGCACTCATATAGTCAAGCTATGTTAGTGAAGCTAATAGTTTCCGAATTCATTTTGAGACGTGGAAATTGTTCAAATTGAGTATGTTGGAATCTATCAAGGTTTTTGGCTTGCAATAAAGCTAGGGTCTTGATCGAGCAGGACATCGTCCTATCAATCTACCTCTCCAGACACAATATTTTGAGTACCTATGATGGTGACTACATGTGTTGGCATGTAATGTTTTGGATGAATTTGGCCTCGAGCTCTAGGGGTAGCGTCATATTTTTTAGCCAAATTTTAAATTCATCAAAAAATTTGCCAAATTTAAGGTAGATATTTCTATTTGCATGTAAAATCCTTTGTAAAAGTATAATGTCAAATAGCCTAGTCAATAACGTCTTAAATATTATTTTTTAGTTTTGGCCTCGAGTTCCTAGGGGTACCATCACATTTTTTGGCCAAATTTTAAATTTATCAAAAAAGTTACTAAATTTGACATGGATGTTTTTATTTAAATTTAAAATTCTTCGTAAAAGTTTATTGTCAAATAGTTTTGTCAATAACGTCTTAAATATTATTTTTTAGTTTTGGCCTCGATCTCCTAGGGGTACCAACGGGAGTCGCTAGAGAATTCGTTGAACTATGTTCAACTCATTCGAAGAGGTACGAAGTCGCTCGACTAAAAGGAGAGGGGAGAGGTACGAAGTCACTCGACCTACGGGAGAGGAATCTCTGTACCTCTTCGTACCTTTCAGTCGAGCTGAATGACATTTCCTTCGGTTTGGTGAGACGAGGTGTAGTGCAGTCTGGTCAGCGCATCTGTTTTGGGTACAGAGGGCCATAGGTTCGAATCCTGTCACCTTGATGTGAAGTGCACAGCCCGGCAGCCTCTTTAGGATGGCGAAAAAAAAGGCATCTTTGTTTGTTATGGTCAACTCGGTGCCTTTGTAGGGTGGACGTTTTCATCACATTTTTTGGCCAAATTTTAAATCCATAAAAAAAGTTGCCAAATTTGACTTGGATGTTTCTATTTGCATGTAAAATCATTTGTAAAAGTTTAATGTCAAAATTTTTTGTCAATGTCTTAAATATTAATTTTTTTGTGTTGGCCTCGAACTCGTAGGGACACTATCACATTTTTGGGCCAAATTTTAAATCCATCAAAAAAAGTTACAAAATTTGACATGAATGTTTCTATTTGCATGTAAAGTGTTTTGTACAAGTTCCATGTCAAAAGGACTTGTTAATAATGTCTAAATTATTAATTTTTTAGTTTTGACCTCGAGCACTAAGGGATACCATCACGTTTTTTTGCTAAATTTTATATGCATAAAAAAGTTGCAAAATTTGATATTGATGTTTCCATTTTAAATGCAAAATCCTTTGTAAAAGTTTCATGCCAAATAGACTTGTCAATTATGTCTTAATTATAATTTTTTAGGTTTTGGCCTCGAGCTCTAGGGATACCATCACGTTTTTTGGCCAAATTTTAAATTCATCAAAAAAGTTGCCAAATTTGACATGGATGTTTCTATTGGCATGTAAAATCATTTGTAAAAGTTTCATGTAAAAAAGACTTGTCAATAATGTCTGAATTATTACTCTATTTTTTTTTACTTTTGTCCTCGAGCTCTAAGCGGTACCATCACAATATTTGGCAAAATTTTAAATCCAAAAAAAAAGTTACAAAATTTTTACAAGGATGTTTCTATTTACATGTAAAATTCTTTGTAAAAGTTTCATGCCAAATAGACTTGCCAATAATGTCTTAATTATTATTTTTTTAGTTTTGGTCTCGAGCTCTAAAGGTACCATCACGTTTTTGGCCAAATTTTAAATTTATCAAAAAAGTTGCAAATTTGACATCGATTTTCTATTTGCATGTAAAATCCTTTGTAAAAGTTACATGTATAAAAGATTTGTCAATAATGCTTAAATTATTATTTTTAGTTTTGGCCTCGTGGCCAAGTTTTAAATCCATCAAAAAATTGCAAAATTTGACATGGATGTGTTAATGATTAGTTTTTAGTTTGTAAAAGTTTCGTGCCAAATAGACTTATCAATAATGTGTTAATTATTAGTTTTCAGTTTTGGCCTCGAGCCATAGGGGTACCATCAAATTTTTTGGCCAAATTATAAATTCATCAAAAAAGTTGGCGAATTTGACATTGATGTTTCTATTTTCATTTAAAATCCTTTTGTAAACGTTTCATGCCAAATAGACATGTAAATAATGTCTTAATTATTATTTTATTGTTTTGGCCTCGAGCTCTAGGGTACCAAAACATTTTCTTGACCAAATTATAAATTCATTAAAAAAGTTGCCGAATTTGACATCGATGTATGTATTTGCATGTAAAATCTTTTGTAAAAGTTTCATGTCAAAAGTCTTGTCAATAATGTCTAAATTATTATTTTTTAGTTTTGGCCTCGAGCACTAGGGGTACCATCACGTTTTTTGGCTAAATTTTAAATTGATCAAACAGTTTCTGAATTTGAAATTGATGTTTCTACTTACATGTGAAATCGTTTTTAAAAGTTTCATGCCAAATAGACTTGTCAATAATGTTTTAATTATTACGGAGTATTTTTTATTTTTGGTCTCGAGCTCTAGGGGTACCATCACGTTTTTGGCCATATTTTAAATTCATCAAAAAAGTTTCCAAATTTGACATTGATGTTTCTATTTGCATGTAAAATCCTTTGTAAAAGTGTCATGTCAAAAAGACTTGTCAATAATGTCTAAATTATTATTATTTTTAGATTTGTCCTCGAGCTCTAAGGGGTACAATCACAATATTTGGCTAAATTTTAAATCATCTAAAAAGTTGCAAAATTTAACATGGATGTTTCTATTTACATGTAAAATCCTTTGTAAAAGTTTCATGCCAAATAGACTTGTCAATAATGTCTTAATTTTTATTTTTAGTATTGGTCTTGAGCTCTAGGGGTATCATCACGTTTTTTGGCCAAATTTTAAATTCATAAAAATGTTGCCGAATTTGACATGGATGTTTCTATTTGCATGTAAAATCCTTTGTAAAAGTTTCATGTCAAAAAGACTTGTCAATAATACCTAAATTATTACTCCCTCCGTCCTAAAATTAACTTCCTATTTGACTTTTCACGGTCTCCAATATGAGACTTTGATCATCAATATCTCAACTTTTATATAAATATATTTTATAAAAATTATATATTTCAAAACTATGTTTAAAAATGAATCTATTACTAATAAATTATATAAAAATTCAATGTATTTTTTCCGTAATATACGGTCCAAGTTTAAAAAGTTTGACCACAAAAGTCAAACTGAGAAGTTAATTTTAGGACAGAGGGAATATTTTTTAGTTTTGGCCTCGAGCTCTAGGGGTACCATCGTGTATTTTGGCCAAATTTTAAATTCATCAAAAAAGTCGTCGAGTTTGACATGGATGTTTATATTTGCATGTAAAATGCTTTGTAAAAAATTCATGTCAAAAAGACTTGTGAATAATGTCTAAATTATTATTTTTTTAGTTTTGCCTTGAGCTCTAAGGGGTACCATCACATTTTTTGACTAAATTATAAATTCATCAAAAAAGTCGAAAATTTGACATGAATGTTTCTATTTACATGTAAAATCCTTTGTAAAAGTTTCATGTCAAATAGACTTGTCAATAACGTCTTAATTATTATTTTTTAGTTTTAACCTCGACCCCTAAGGGTATCATAACGTTTTTTGGCCAAATTTTAAATTCATCAAGGAAGTTGTCGAATTTGACATAGATGTTTCTATTTACATGTAAATCCCTTTGTAAAAGTTTCATGCCAAATAGACTTGTCAACAATGGCTTAATTTTTTTTTTTAGTTTAGGCTTCGAGCTCTAGAACTAGAACTAGAAGTACCATCACGTTTTTTGGCAAAATTTTAAATTTATGAAAAAAGTTGTCGAATTTGACATGAATAAATCTATTTGCATGTAAAATCCTTTGTAAAAGTTTATGTCAAAAAAGACTTGTCAATAATGTCTAAATTATTATTTTTAGTTTTGGCCTCGAGTTCTAGGTTACTATCTGTTGGAATTTTTGGCATTTTTAATAGGCATTAAATGGACCAACTTGGGTATATTTGTCAATAGGTCCACTAACGGTTTTTACCGTTAAGTGACGTGTGTTCTCTTAAATGAGATAAATGTTTTGACAATTTATGCGCCAAAAAATGGTAGAGGGTGAATGAGAAATTGATTCTCAGAGTTAACCTGTTAATAAAAGAATATGGTAAGGATTGCATTTTTGCAATTTTTCTGAACCAATCTTCCTTTATTAATTTTACTTATTGTTTAAAATTAGTCCATTTTTACGGAGTTAACTAGCCATTAATCTCCAATTATTCGGGATAAATTTTAAACGGAGCGTAGCGTAACGGACATGTTAATGGCTAATTAATCACCATTAACACACCATTAGTGTGACACAAATGCCATCATTATTACTAAGCTTTTATTGTGTATAGGTTACACTTTTTAAAATAGCTTAGCTATAAAAATCAAAGGCTCTCTTCTCTTTTCTTGTGTGCCATACGTGAGAAAGAAAGGGAAAAGAAAGGGAAAACTTTCTTGTCAAATATTTAGAGAGAGCTCTTGATTTTCCGGCCATCCTTTGTCGTCAACGTTCCTACGTTGTTCTTGTTCGTTGGTGTGTGGTTGGTCCGTACAATCTCCACACACGATAGCGGTTTTATCCTGGGAGGAGAGTGCCCACGTTTTCTGGTACGGTAGGTGGGAACTACTACCTTAAGGACATC